TGTTATATATTATGTCATTTTCAATAAATTTATATGCTCTTCTTTATTTGTCATTTGTTATATATTTAATTGATTATGGATTTTTATATTGAGTTTATGTTTTTCTTTATTACAGGTTAGATGGCTAGTAACGAGGATCACCCACATGATGATGCTATTAATGATGGAGATCATGAGACCGTTATTGATCAGGAAGCAGAAATTAGACAGGGAATAACAGTTATGAAGAAAGTCATTCGTGATAGAGACCAAGGCATAAAATTAGATGCGCATTGGAGCCAAAGAGGCCAACTAATTGAGCCTAACGGTTCAACGATGACAAGTTTTATTGGTGCACTTGTAAGGAATGAAGTTGCAATTACTTGTGATGATTGGAGAAAACGAGAGTTGAAAGAAGCTAAAGAAATTTTTTGGAGTGAGATACAGGTACCATATTTAATGAAGTTCCAATTTGTTTTTAATGATGACTATGTCTTTAAATTACTTGTACTAATGCACTCTGTGTATGTTTTTCGTAGAGGTCTTTCAACAACATTGATGATACTAGAAGAACTTTTTGTCTCCGATTGGCCGGAAAACTACTAAGAGGGTTTAAGACTTTTGTAAATATCAAGTTTCTTAGGGATGCAGATAAAATTTTTGTTGATACAAAGCTTCCATCTAAATATGCAAGTTTGGTTTCACCTAAATAATGGGAAACGTTTAAAGCCAAATGAAAAACCCAAGAATTTCAGAGTGTAAGTGAAACAAATCGGCAAAGAGCATCAAGTCCCGCGTATCCATACAGAAAAGGGCGTATTGGATATGGACACTTAGAATAGTCTATCGTAAGTATCTATAAATTGCAATGATATACTTGTTCATCATGAATTATATTTGATCATATTATTTGGCTTAATGTGTAGTTAACAAAGGATAATAGTTCTAAAACATCTCTTCCGGCACATGTTTTATGGAAGGAAGCTCGTGTGGGTAAGGATGGAGTTGTCAAAGAAGATGTTCAAAAAGTTTTTGAGAAATGTGTAAGTATATCATCATTTCTTTAATTAAATCAAAAGTTTAGTAACATATAATTAAGACAAATTTTCAATCTTCATATGAATTTTAGGAGACTCTATCTCAGTCTATATGTCCAGATGAAGACAATGATTGCAGGAGCATACTTAGTCGAGTATTAGATGTTTGTGAGTATTCTGGTCGGGTGAGGGGTAAGGGATTTGGAATAACTCTAAAATCCTTGAAGATGAAAACACAAAAGTCTTCTAGCAATAAAGAACTGCAGGAAACCTTGGAAGCACTACAAGCTGAAGTCCGTAAATTGAGAAGGGAAAAAGAATTAAGAGAGCAAGCTTCAGGTTTTAAAGCTACTAGTGACAAAGGTAGTATCGGTTGTAATTTTCAACCGAATCTTCCAGAGGTAATTATATATATCATTATGAAATTAAAGTAGCTTAATTTATTTTATTTAAATATATACACAATAACAATTTGAAATTTATTATTAGTTTTAGGGCATTTCACCTTGTCAACTCTACTTATCGTCACCGACTTATCGGATGGTTGGCAAGGGAAAAGTGCATAACACTTTGGAAGAATTACTTCACACTAAACCACTCCCTACTGGCTATTTGAAAGTATCAGTTGACATTGCTTCGGAGAAGGATGCGTTATTACCACATCCTGACGATGTTTTGGATGCCACACTGGTGGAAGATGCAATAGGTTCGTTTGTTGCATGGTCGTCAAGCCTCATTAGTGTAGATGATGATGTATGCTTAAAACCATATATACGAACCTTTGAGTATTCAAAGTTTTTACGCGCATTTTACGTACATTTGTTTTCACATGTTTATGTTAATTAGACTCCAACAAAATCCAAAGTAAAAGACAGGGAGATTCTGCGAAAAACCGAGTCAGTTGCATCAATAAAAGAGGTACATCACAATTATATGATATTTATGCATGAAAAATGCTAATTTGTAATCTTATACTTCACATAACTAATTATATGATCTTTAGATTCATGCTAAAGAGAATGAAGATGTCGGTAGGGGTAAGAATCCTGAAATTAGCAACATTTCCACACAAGAAAGGTTGTTTCTAAGAAGACCGCGGCTAAAAAAAACTACTTCCAAGTTTAGGCCGTGCCTTGGGACATTTTTAGAAATGTGTGATATTCCAGAAGGAAATACTCGTCTTCTACCTATGGAGTTTGGTATTTTTGGTTTTGAATATTTCGAAACAATTGGTGTGGAGGATTTTGATCAAGTTTTACAACATACGCAATTAGGCCTCGATGTTGTTAATACATATATAAGGTGTATCCGATCTACTTTGTCTAAATAATTGATCGATTCATTTATTTATTTCAAATGTTAATGAGGTCTTTTATTTAAGGTTTTTGTATGAAAAATTGATGCGCCCGAGTGGATTGGAGCAAAGATTCGCTTTCTTATCTCCTTACAATACCAACTTAGGGTTAATCATGTATAAACCAAATGAAGTCATGGTGTATGTACTCGAGCGCTTTATGGCCGACAAAGATACTAAAAAGTTGTTCTTTTTACCGCTTAATACTGGCAACGGGTTAGATTTTCATTCTAAATTCATCTATTATAATTTTTCCTATTTTGACATTGTGTAGAAAGTTTTCATCTCACATTTGTTTAATCTTACAGTGGATATTGGTTGTTGGTGGCGATTAATCCTATCAGAGAAGTTGTATATTATCTAGATTCTTTACGCAATGATCCAAGTACATACCAAGATATGAAGAATATGGTTGATACGTAAGTGAGATTGTTCTAAATATTCGTGTGTATATTTATTTATTTATTTATGTGAATTGTTCTAAATATGCGTTTATGTTTTATTAGCATTATACAAGTTTTTCGAGCACAAAGAGGTATTCAAGTACCAAAGAGTAAAGCCAACAACATTACATGGATTATAGTGGAGGTATATTAATTATCATAATTTTGATTATATTAATAGTGATGATACTTGATAAAACTTAGGCCTTATCCATATTTTTTTTCTCACGTGTAGTGTCATCGGCAGCGTAATGAAGTAGATTGCGGTTTTTACATGTTGAGGTTTATGAGAGAAATCTTTCTTTTGAATCAAATAGAGATTCTATCTAAGGTATGGATTTCTAACTTAGGAGTTATTTTAATATTTAACACATATTTCTCATATAATTAAATAGTTTTAACTTAAACATACTATGTTATATTATTTTTTAGTACTTTGATGAATTCAAGTATGCTTATTACTCAAGTTCTCAGTTGGATGAACTTAAGGAGGATTGATGTCAATATATTATTGAGACGAAAGTTATATAAGATATATTGTAATCTTACTTTAATTGATGAGAATTTTGAGTATATTTAAGTGTTGAAATTTTGTTGTTGTTTGTCATGTGGTAAATTATATATATTTTGTTTATATCATGGTATGAATTACGATATTTTGGTGTTGTTTTAGGTTATATGTGCATATGTAGAAGATATAGATGAATATATTTTGTAATGGTATATAATGATGTTGTTTTTTTGTAAAAGTATATATGTACAAGAGTAATAGTATATATAAGTACATTGGTGCAAATGTATAGTATCTTTTGGTATTATTTTTTATTGGATTGAAGCTCCAATATTAGTGAAAATATGGTGAAATTTGTAATGTTATATACAAGTGTAAAATATGGTGAAAACCTGGTGCAAATATGATTAAAATCTGTGCATATAAAATTGTATATATCAAACAACGCTTTTTTTCAAAAAAGTTATATAAAAAATTTCGTGGACATTAGACAACGCTTTAAAAAACGTTGTCTAAAGCCCCCTTTAGACAACGCTTTTACTGTAAAAGCGCTGCCTAAAGGGACTCTTTTTAAAAAAAATAATTTCGTTTCAGAAAAAGCGCTGATAAAGGGGATCTTTAGCAGCGCTTTAAAAAAAGCGTTGCCTAAAGGAGGCTTTAGACAATACTTTAACATTAAAAGCACTGTCTAAAGGGGCTTTTTATTTTTAATTTTTTTTGTTTCAGAAAAAACGCTGGCTAAAGGGGGCCTTTAGTAGTGCTTTAAAAGTAAAAGCGTTGGCTAAATGAGGCCTTTATCAGCGCTTTCAAAGTAAAAGGGTTGTCTAAAGGGGGAATTTAACAGCGCTTTTACTTTTAACAAAACACTGTTTTTATCTACAACAACGCTGAAATAGACAGCACTGTCTAAAGTAAAAAAAAATACTGTCTAAAATCTTGTTTAGCGTAATAATGATATGATTTCAATAAGAGTATGACATTCTCTAATATAATTTTTTAATATAATTTTAGATCATGGTTGTTTTTAGAATATAAGTTTGTATTGTGTAGTGAAATAATATTTATAAAAAAATCATAGAATGAGATATTATTATTATTATTATTATTATTTATATATTTTTTTCTTAAGAGGCTTATCTGCCTTGAAATACGGTCTTTCCCCTATTTATTAGTAATATTTTAATCAATTTAGTATTATTTGTGCATTGTTTGACAAGCTAACAGCACATAGTCTGAGGGACACATGAAACACAACACCTGCTATTGTAGTTGACCTAAATTATTGGTGTTAAGGACTTAAAAAAAATACTAAATTTCTTGACTAAAAAAAATACTAAAATTTTATCTATCTTTAAAGATTTTAGAAGAAAAAGTTGGTAAAAGAATTATAATATATGGTGATGAATGATAATAACATGATATGTGAAAAAGTTGGGTCTACCGCGTTTTTAATTTAACTAATTAATCTACTACTACTCTACCTGCGACTCTATCAGCATAACATAAGCCATCGTGCTAGCTATCACAAAACACTCTTTTTACGCTCAATTCCATCAACACGTGAATACTTTAGACCTTCATTCAAACTCAAATTTATTCAAACCTATATCGGTTGTTGTTTATTTATAACCACGACACACAGCATTAATCTCCAATGTCAGTGTACTATACCACAAATGGATCATCATGAAATCACCACTGATCAAGTTCAAGGTAAGACACCATCATCTTCCACCACTTCAAGTGGAAATAATGATGATAACAAGAAGAAGATGTATAGAGGTGTGAGAAAGAGGAAGTGGGGAAAATGGGTGTCTGAAATAAGACTACCAAATAGCCGAGAAAGAATATGGTTAGGATCATATGATTCACCTCAGAAAGCAGCAAGAGCATTCGACGCTGCACTTTACTGTCTTCGTGGTCGCCATGCAACTTTCAATTTCCCTGATTCACCTTTTCATTTGGAAAACACTGCACTTTCTAACCATCCACAACAGATTCGAGAGATTGCTGCTAACTTTGGCAACAAAAATCCACAAATTGTTATCGATAGTAATAGTAATAATAATAATAATAATGAAAATATTAATACAAATGAATCCAAAACTGTGGCTGAAGTTATTGGCTCTTCGTCTTCTACTACTACTATGAATGATAATGTTGGGAACAACATTGATTGGACATTTTTGGATGTGTTGGATGGTTCGAGTAATGATGCTAATTTTTTTGAGCCTGAAAATTATGGTGGCTTCTATTCTGATTTAGAAAAGATGAATTCGGGTGAGTTATTCAGTTTACCAGCACAACTACAACTATTTGAGGACAATATTCAGAAGGAACTAGTTAAAGTTGAAGGTGATGATGATGTTTATGTTGACCCTTTTTCTCATCAATCATTCCTTTGGAACTGGGACTTTTGATCATTCTCCATTCTCTCTACACTTTATTTCCAACCACTCAGAATTTTATTTCTTTTTGCAACTATATTCTATATGGTTGTTTCTTCTTAATAATAACAATAATAACATGGACAGGCTCATTTTGTCCAATCTCAGACCATAAATATGATTTACTTATACTATGTCATAGTGTCACTGTTAGCTTACCCTTTTTTAATGATAAGTATGATTTTAAAGTGCGTTGGCGGGTCGCTGAATGTGATTGCAAGCTTTGTAATTTTGGTTATTGAAATTATTAAACAACTATAAATAATATATTTTATAATAAAATATTTATATAAGTTAATAAAAAATAGAGGTCAAATGATTTGGAACATATCTTTTATTTTTTTTTAAATTTAATTTAATTTTTTAAATTTGTAAAAAATTGACTGAAAATGTAATCTAGAATTTGAGATTTGATTCCTAACTCATACAATTTTATATTTTATTTAGAATCAAAATGACCACATTATTATTAGTGTATAAGGTGATAAAGAACAAAAAGAGATAAGAGAATATATTTTATTGTTATGCAATGATAGCTACAAAAGATGTAAGAAAAATAATGATCAGAAAAGACAATAATTACTAGTCGATTTATACATACAAACTAAAGCCACATAGACAACGTATTAAAATATTAAATTATCATTCAATACCATCTTTTAATTTAGAATTTCCTAATTAAAACTAACAACACCACTACGCCATATAAGAAAAATTACAGCATTTTTTTTAACATAGACAACGCTTAAAAACACTGTCTATACCAGCGCTGTTGTAAGTAAAGACAACATTTTTTTAAATACAAAAGTGCTGTCTTATATCCCTTTTAGGCAGCGCTTCATTTTAAAAGCGTTTTCTGTTGTACCTTTAGACAACGCTTATTTCTTAAAAAGTGCTTTCTATTTCTCTTTTAGACAATACTTTTAAAAGCACATCTTTTAATTCTCTTTTAGAGATTTTTTTTTTTACAATAACTAGGTATTAAAAAAAATTTCGCAAATAACCACGTTTCAGAAAAAAATTACGCAAATAACCATGTTTCGGATGACTCCGCAAAGGAGGAGCCATCTCACTTGGCGCCTCCACCTAGGGTTTTCCCCTAGGCGCCATCTCACTTGGCGTCTCCTCTCACTTTTAGCCAAGTGAGATGGCGCATGCATTTTAAAAGTGAGAGGAGGCGCCATCTCACTTGGCTCCTAGGGCAAAACTAGGGCAAATGCTGTTTTTATAAATAATTTGCCCGTTTCTCCGTCATTTCTCACACTTTCTCGCACTGTGTTGTTATTTTTTACTTTGTTATTTGCGTCATGACATCGTCCATGATTTTTACCAGAGATGGTTACGTTATCTTCTCTGCCACGAAACCTGCGATGAAAGTGAAATTCTGGCACATTCACTCCATGGAGCGTTTGAAGCGGGAGTTGATGCGATGGCATGTTGAAGTTTGTCATGTGCGGAGGTGGTGTGTAGATCTCGTTTGTAGGAATACTAGGTATGCCATCATCGTCGGAATCATCATTCACCATTTCATCAAACTCTAACTTGTCATCTTCTTCTTCTTCTTCATCAACTGCATCTACCTCAACTTGTTCGTTCTCCAAAGGATCAACCACTTGTGTCACCTGAGGCTCTCGCAGCATAATGTACAACTCAATAGAGTCGTACCCAGAATACACATGGCTGGAAAACATATTCTGGAGATCCTCGTCATCTTGAACCTCAACCTTATAAAAAATTATTTGCTTGTTTCCAAAAAAAACTGGATTCTGATAAAATATCTGTGTCACCGGGCCTCGTCCTAGTTTGGCCTCCAATCATTTTTTGAAGTATGAGAAATTAGCTTTCCCATTTAAAAGAAATCAGATGTTGTCTGTGTCTCTAAACAAAAACCCAGAGGTGGAACAAATGTATGTCTCACCGTTGAAATGTGCATTGATGACATATTGGGGTGCAGAGACCATTGCGTAGGTTTGTTTGAAGGTTTGAAGGTTGAAATGTTTGAAGTTTATGAGTTATTCGAAGGTTTGTATGTTTGAAGTTTATTGATTGTATGAAGGTTTGAAGGTTATAAGGTTTGAAGGTTTGAATGTTTGAAGTTTATGAGTTATTCGAAGGTTTGTATGTTTGATTGTTTGAAGGTTTGAAGGTTTGATTGTATGAACGTTTGAAGGTTGGAAGGTTTGACAGATTAAGTGAATCAGTGTTATGATAAATGTAAAGCTAAATAGGTCATACTGAATTTGAATTAAGTAAGGATGTAACCCCCAAGGCTGCCAATAGTGTTACATGCATTCAAGCATGGCATCCCAAAGGCTGTCACGTAGCCTGCGCCTACTCTGCAACCCATGACACCTCTTATTCACCAATGGGGATGGCGACACCTTTCATTTTTGTACTCTTTCTCCAAGTCCAATGGCGCCTCCCTTAATGTCCAATCGTGTTACATGCATGCAGATATGTAACCCCCTAGGCTGCCACCTAGCCCGCGCCTACTTTGCAAGAGTGACACTTCTCATGCATGCATGCACCAGCTACCACCTCACTTACTGTATGAAATTTTTTTGCCTATAAATACAGACCATATCATACTTCTCTCACACCCACACTCGTCTCACTCTCTGCTACGAAGTCTTTCATAATCTCTTACACTTTCTAAGTCTTTCATAATCTCAGGCATTTTCAACAATGGCTCTTCTAACAATGGGCGATTCTCTCAGAGGCACAAGGGACAACATTTCCGCATTTGTAAGTTTCTATTTTGGTTATACATTTTTTATACTTCAGGTAATGCTTTGTTCATCTTACTTAATCTTACACCTTTTACATTATTAATTCAGGATACCAAAAGATTCAGGATCCGGTTTCACAACTACCTGGCTCCCGACCCATTTATCGTACCATATCTGGAATACGCAGGTTTCATACATGTTATAAAGATCTCCAACTGCACAATTGATTCGAAGTTCATTCTTGCAATATTTGAAAGGTGGAGACCAGAGACCCATACATTTCACCTACCAATAGGTGAATGTATCGTCACGCTAGAGGATGTGTACATGTTACTGGGTCTCCCTGTCGACGGTAAGGCCGTTAACGAGTCGGTTCAACAACCCAATTCTCAGTGTGATGAATTGTTGGGCAGGGACATGGTTGAAGGTGGTGGTGCGAGAGGTCAGGGTATACTACTCACTGAGCTTAAAAGTCATTATGCAAGTTTGGAATTAAACGAGAATTCCTCCGAGCAAGACAGGGTAGTAAAAGCCAAAACTTATCTAATGATACTATTTGGAACCTTTTTATTTCCCGAAAGTACGGGAAATAGTGTAAATTTTATGTATTTACATTTACTTAGAGATTTTGAAAAAACAAGAAAGTATAGTTGGGGTTCTACAGTTTTAGCCCACCTATACAGTTCCTTGTGCAAAAATGCAGTCAAGGAAAAACGTACATTTTATGGCTGCACTTTTTTACTACAAGCCTGGGGTTGGTGGAGGATGGAGTCCTTAAACCCCGTCAACAACAACACTTTCGTTTTCCCGTACGCAACAAAGTAAGTCATCAAGTTATATCATTTATTACTATTCATCTCTTCATCAAATATATGCTAAAAATAAAATGTTTTTCATTTCCTTTAGGTATTGCGTGAGGGGTATGGATTACGGCAAGAATCCAAGATTCATTGTCGCACTATACCGCAATCTGTTGGATCACCTAGGCCCGGATGATGTACGTCGTACCTTTAAACTTTTCTTCATTTAAATTATTTATATATTACATTTTCATTAACCTGATTTAATTTTTTTCGCAGTTTGTCTGGAGACCGTATTTGGGTTTGAGCCATGAACCAAACCCTGAGGATGCAGCAATTTGGAGCACCAAGACTGCAATCATACGGTTCAATATTGTGGAGATGCACCACAACGACCGTGTGAAGATGCAGTTCGGAATGCATCAAGAGATACCAAGTGATCCGACTTGTTTGTCCCCGTGGCATCTCAAAAGGGTCGACGCCCAGTGGGGTCTTACCAACTGGAAAGACTTTGCTCCAGAATGGTGTAAGATGTGGCAGAGGCGTCACCGATATGTCTTGCAATTCCCGGTTTTCCTCAACCATGGTAATATGCGACACACAAATCAATATTTATCTTGGTACAGGTCGGTTAGTAACCCTGAAATGCACGTGTCTCATCTAAGGTATTTGGTTGACCCACGAACACAATGGGCACAACCCTCGTTTCCCCAACAACAAACCCAACACACATCAACCTCCCACCAACCCCCCAAATTAAATAGAACCACAACACCCAACCACAGTCCCCACTACAACACAATTACACTCAAATGCCCCACAACCAACCACAATCACCACCTCAGTACCAATACCCCCATATGCCTCACATCCAACCCCAATACCAATCACAATACCAACACACCTGCATACCGCACACACAATTTCAGTCTTCCGTATATCCCAATATGGGCCCCTCAACATCCAGCCTTAGCCCTGATCTGGGAATGTCAGAAGATTACGAACCAACCGACCCAACTTACCATCAACCACAGTATCACCAAACCACCCAACATCCTCAATACCAAACACCCCAAGATCCATTTCCTTTCTACCCCCCGTATTCAGACGATCAATGCTACAGACCCACCATGGAACCCCACCCACCACCAACACGACCAAACTTTGAGGGTATGGGTAACCGACTGTACCACCATGCATGAGAAGTGTCACTCTTGCAGAGTAGGCGCATGCTAGGTGGCAGCCTAGGGGGTTACATATCTGCATGCATGTAACACGATTGGACATTAAGGGAGGTGCCATTGGACTTGGCGAAAGAGTACAAAAATGAAAGGTGTCGCCATCCCTATTGGCGAATAAGAGGTGTCATTGGTTGCAGAATAGGTGCAGGCTACGTGACAGCCTTTGGGATGCCATGCCTGAATGCATGTAACACTATTGGCAG